GAAATACCACTAGAAGTGGTTTTGGAGGATGGATCCTTTTGTTTTGATGTTAAAATGGTATTAAAGAATTGGGAATCTGAATTTAAAGCCTTATTCTCCGGTGGTTTGGTGTCCCCTGAGTGGGACGATTCTTATTTTGAAAGGATATTGGTGCTAAAAGTCCAAATGGAAATCTCTGCAAAGTTTTCATATAATCCATATTTAAATTTTGATATTACAGAAAGTGAAGTCAAAAGGGCAATAGATAAACTAAAAGTTAAGAAAGCGACTGGATTTGACAACTTGTCTAATGAATTGCTAAAACAGCCTGGTTTGTTCCCAGTGCTTTATAATTTACTGTTTACTTGCTTTGAGCAGGGCTTGATCCCTTCAGACTGGCACAAATCTGTTATCAAACCTATTCCAAAGTCACAGAGTTCAGACCCTCGAGTGCCTATGAATTATAGAGGAATAAGTCTCCTTAGTTGTGTGTACAAATTGTATAGCAGTATTCTTAATGAGAGATTGACGTGTTACCTGGAATCCCTTGACCTACTGGCTGACGAGCAAAACGGGTTTAGGACAAAGAGAGCCTGTATAGATCACATTTATTCTCTTATCTCAGTAACAAATGCTAGAATACAAGAGGGAAAGTCTACATTTGCCTGTTTCATAGACTTTCAGAAGGTTTTTGACTGTGTTAATCGAGATTTACTTGGCTATATGTTATTAAAAATGGGGATTGATGGTAAATTTTATGACGCAGTTAAAGCTATTTATAAAAATCCAATCTCTTGTGTTCAAGTAAATGACCACTTCACTGACTGGTTCCCAACACCATACGGCGTAAAACAGGGTGATGTTCTGTCTCCCACATTATTTGCTATATACATTAATGATTTAGTAAATGAAGTAAAAGAGGCAGATGTGGGCATTAATGTGGGAGACTGCATGGGGCGCTACCTGTGCGGAGAAAGACGGAACGTAGTCTACTCCTGCTGGCATACTGGCCACATGTACATGGTCAAGGGTACCCATGACAGTGTGGGGGTGGAGCAGCACCTCAGTAGTACCCACATTGACTATGGGAATATATGCTGTCCCCCGCATAACATGGACCAGTGCCGGCGAAGCTAGCAACCCAGCTGGTAAGCCGAATTCTGGAGGCTCGAACAACACCGTGGAGTTCGAAAACTGCTCAGAACAGGTGGCTGTTATCACCTTCATAGAGCCTCCAGGGATGCGACAGGCCCTCTTCCCGCGCATCCTAACTTTGCCAGGATGGACTACTGGAGCTTGTAGGCTAGCTTTGTGGCATCTCTGCATGGCTTCCATAAGAAAGGAAGGACATGATTCTAAAGGCCTGTGAAAGAGTGAAGGGCTGTACTCGCCAAACAGCTCTTGGGAACACTTTTGAATGATGTTCATTCCTAAAACACCGGGTGCCTGCACAGGTGTAGTTCCGGGGAGGTCCTTCACCACCAGGACACCACAGTGAGGCATCTGCTTGCCACACAAGACAACGTCAAGCTCCAGGTAACCTATGTATGGGATGGACAAACCATTAGCGGCCGTAAGCTTCAGCCAATGGCAAGCCTTGAGTCGCTCCTCCCCGAGAGGCGCAAAATGTTTCATGAAGAAACTTTCCGTGATTGTAGTCACCATAGACCCTGTATCCACAAGGCACGGGACGGAGACTCCACTCATGCCCACCTTGATATGTGGACAGGAGGAAACTAGTTTTGGTGCGTCGTCGAAGCTATTAAAAACATGGTCCGAGCCAGTGACTGCCCCACCTGAGCCGTGGCCCTGCAACCCGGTGGGCACTAGTTTTCCGGATGACTATGTGACTGAGCGTGTCCCTGCCTCGGCAGCTGCAAACGAGGGGGTGCACGCTCCCCATCACAGTCCCAGGAGATGTGTCCAGGCTGACGGCATCGCCTACAAATGATTGGGCCAGAGCGCGGAGAGCGGGTACGCTGGTGGGGATTGTGAGATCCCTGTAAACGAGCCACGCTCTGGGTAAGATTATCAAGTTGCTCCTGTTGTCGGTGCAACATTTGCTTCAGGTCACTTACTTCAGAAGCCTGGGCAGTGTTAGTACGCTGAGACCCACCCTGAACGGCGTACTGGATACCAAAAGTGGAAGGGACAGAATTGCTGCGGCCACGCTGGCATCCCCTCACGCTCCCACCTTAGTGCCTCACCTCTGACATCGAGTAAAGTTGCTGTGGGTGTGGTACGAACATATTGTTTTAACTCATGACGGAGCGAGCAGTCTAAGACCTGCTCAACGAATTGGTCGCGAAGTAATGTTTCTGCATTATTCATATTATTAGGAGCGCGCTGCTTTACCCCCTCCATTAAAGTCATAAGCGCGAGGGAATACTCGAGCAAGCTTTCACCCTCTTGCTGGCGGCGCGAGAAAAACGCCTCCTGTAGCGAAACATAGGATTCACCGCAACCATAGAGGTCCTGCAAAATGGAGATGATTTTATTTGGATCGGAGCGCTCTGCACTCGGTTGATACTTGATTTCATCCTTGGCCTCCCCTTCCAAGTGGTCATACAAGAAAAATGCCTTGTCTGCGGCAGATAAGTGTCTAGCGCGCATAGATGCCTGAGCTTCCTCTAGCCACTCACCAAGGCTAATACCAGACCTACCTCTAAACATGGGGCATTTTCTATCCCGTGGCACGAAAATTAGACGATCCCCAATGGTGGGATTCGATGCAGGAACAGCAGTAGTGGGCGGGCTTGAGGTTGAAGCCGTCTCAGAGCCTGTAACGGGCACCGATTGTGTACGCTCACTACGTAACTGTTCATTTTCAGCCCTCAACTGAGCCAACTGCTCCCGTAACTCCTGCAAAGCTTCCTCCATAATTGAGAAAAAGGGGCAAAACAAACTGCTGTAGTGTCCACTATACAAAAATGTTGATCAGGGTGTAAACACGAATGAGCTAATCTCACAGCTACAATAGCAGTAACCTACAGGTGAACTCAGTAAATAAAAATATATGCAAACAATGGTTAACACAAAGAAAAATATAATCATGCAAATATACAAAAACACAGCAAAACATGCACAGAAATAATGTATAACCTCACACAGTAAACAAATGCTTAACACTAATATTCACTTTTGTTCAACCCCCAATTAGCTACCATTTAAAGCAGAGTATTAGTAACATTCTAAATGCCCTGATTTAGCAAACTAAACAAAAACAAATATAAAATGAAAAAAAAAAAAAAAAACGTTTTTGCCTTTGTCCTCTCGATCCAATCCTGCCAGCGTACGCCAAGTTTGTTGCGAGCTCGGAAGCACTTAGCTACAGTAGAATCTCACTATATTTTCAATGAGAACCATACAAACAAATAATACCAGCAACGCCACCTTAGATTTTGGCCTAAGGAACCATTAAGAAGTTTATCCCCGCATACCTAGACCACAGGCGACAGTAGCTCAGTTGGTAGAGCATTGGCCTTAAGGTCATGGGTTCAATTCCCACCTCTGCACCTTCTCCACCGACTCCCACTGATCACTGCTGTCGTTGTGTCCTTGGGCAAGACACTTCACCCCACTTTGCCCAAAGCCCCCGCAGACAGATCAAGGCTATGCTCACACTCAGAGAGCAGCCGTCCTCCTGTGGACTCACCACCTGCAGAGGGTCAGTGAGGGGCTGGTGCTATGAGACTTGGGTGGCATCTCTGATTGCCACCCCCCTGACCCAGAAATGGATTAAAGGGTAGAAAATGGATGGATGGATGGATGGACCTAGACCACAGGTTCGTTTGGATATGGAGAGAGACAGAGGCAAATCTAACAAAATATAAGTTTATTTAAATAGCTGACAAGTTTAATTGATTATTCTAATTAAAACACTCTACATTCACAACACACACACACTCCCATTCATTCTCAGTCACACTGCATGAATTCCAGAACAATACAATCAACAGCCAGATAAACCAAGAAAGGAAAAGAAACAATTAACTTTTAAAAAGTGTCCCAACTACAGTAGCCGTTGCGTTCAGCCACACTAGGGCCGGAATTTGGTTACCTTGTGGGTAGAGGAATAAAAAGAAGCCCTGGTTGGATTGTCCTTATTTGAGGTGCGTGGAGGATTGGAGGCGCTGGATGGGATACGCGTCCTGCAGTTCCGCGGCCACCACAGATTTATATACTCCCACTCATCATATGCCTTTAGATTTAAAAAGGGCAGACTACCGTGCAAAAGACCCCACTTGGAAGGGGAGGTCGGAGACAACAGGAATCCTAAAACATTATTGTGTATTAGAAACAAACTCCTATGTATGTATTGTTCAGGAGGCGCACAGAGTTAAACATACCGTTGCAGATTGAAGCGCTCCGCGCACGAGCCGCCCCAGCCCGTGACAGCTCACACTGGGACAAGCCTTTACGCACGGCAGTAACGTCCACGCCAAAGGGCCCGGTGAAGGAAAGCAGGCACAGCAGCGGTGTGCGCGCTAAGACGCCGGTATGCTACAAACCACGATTTTAGGATAATCTAACTCATATTTTAATCACTACGCAGTACTAACCAAAAGCGCATATGACGATCGCGTGGCTCAATTGCGCGGCCTCTCGCCTTGTGCAATTGAACCGTGGTAGTTTGGTAGCGAGACGCTGATCAAAACACGTGCTCTGTCCCGGACCAAGTCACAGTGGGGCGGCTGCGGCTGTAAAGTGCCAAACTGCCGTTGTGTCCTTAGGCAAGACACTTCACCCCCATTGCCTAGAATGAGTCTGGTGTGTGTGTGAATAGTTGGTGGTGGTCGGAGGGGCCGATGGCACATACTGGTTGCCTCGCTTCTGTCAGTGTGCCGCAGGGCAGCTGTGGCTACATTAGTAGTTTATCACCACCGTGTATGGAGTGAATGAATAATGACACATGTGAAGTGTCTTTGAGTGTCCAAAAAAGCGCTGAACGCGTTTATCCATGAGAATGGACTGGACTGGAAAAAGTGTGTGGGGGTGTGTGTACAGACGGCGCGAGGGCTATGACGGGTCGTAACAGCGGGGTAGCCACTCGCATCAGAGAGGTGGCACCTGAGATGCGCTGGACTCACTGCAGTATCCACCGTGAGGCACTGGCAGTGAAGAAGATGCCTGATGACCTGAAGTCTGTGCTGGACTCTGCTGTAAAAACTGTGAACTTCATAAAGTCCAGACCGATGAATGCTCGCTTATTTCATGTGCTCTGCGAGGAGATGGGTAGTGAGCATGTCCAACTCTTGCTTCATACTGAAGTAAGGTGGCTTTCAAGAGGAAAGGTACTTTCGAGGCTTTTCGAATTGCTACAGAGAGGTCCAGATGTTCTTGCAGGACAAACATTTCCCTCTCTCAGACATTTTTGAGGATGCTGTGTGGCTCAGTCAGCTGGCATACTTGTCTGACATTTTTTCACGTTTCAATGAACTGAATTTGGGACTGCAGGGACTCTCTATCAATGCTTTTGATGTACAGGACAAAATCAATGCACTGCTGAAAAAGTTCGAGTTATTTGAACTTAAAGTCAAGACAGGTGATGTTTCAGCTTTCCCTGCTTTGGAGAGTTTTCTGTCTGATAATGACCTGATGCTTGATGATGGAGTCAGGGAGAACATCGCTGCACACCTCACATCACTCAGACAACAGTTCTGCAATTATTTCCCTGTGATTCCTGGAGCTGAGGCTAGAAGCTGGATGAGAAACCCTTTCAACATCAGCACCTCTCACGTGGCCTCAATGGACTTAACTGTTGTTGAGCAGGAGAAATTAATAGAGCTGTCTTTTGACGAAACACTGAAGGCATCTTTCAGAAAGCACACTTTGTTGGACTTTTGGATGAAGCAGTACAGTGAATACCCTGTGCTTTCTGACAAGGCAGTGCGTTTTCTCCTTCCTTTTGCAACCACCTATCTGTGTGAGAAAGGCTTCTCTTCACTTGTTGTCATAAAAACAAAGTACAGAAGCAGGGTGGATGCTGAGCCAAACCTGAGACTGAAGCTGACCTCCATTGACCCAGATATTGCAGGACTGTGTTCACAGAGGCAGGCACACCCATCACACACAACTCATGCAAGTTGTCATTAATAGTCTGTGTATGTTTAATTACAGCTGTTAATTCTCTTTTTTTTATTCTAAATCTTATTGTTCTTCCTCTGTGTTTGTGTTTGTTTCAGAAAGCAGCCAGTGTGTAAAGTTGAGACAGCAAGAACTGTTACTTGCAGCTAGGTATACGGCCTTAGTTTAGTTTCATAACATTGAAGTACAGTACAGTTTTATTTAATCTTTAAGAACAGATTTTTTACATTTATTTTAGTACAATGTTTATTTAACTTTTATGTGCAATACATTTTATTTGAATCATTATTTAAGTAGAGTTATTCGTTTTTTTTCCTAAATTTAAGTCTTAATGTTGAAATTGTAAAACAGTGGTTCTCCCTCTGTATAATGTTATAATGGCTGACAATATTAAATATACCTCTTTAGGAATGAAACCTCTGCCTTGTTTTTGATGAATACTTCGGCTTATTACGCTACTGTGTGGTGTTGGTCATTTGTGGTGGTACTTGGAGAGGCAAGTATTTTCTGAGGTGGTACTTGGTGTGAAAAGTTTGAGAACCTATGTACTAGAGATTCAAAGATAACGACCTTTATTATTGAACAGGTGTAAAAGTGAGAGTACTCTGGGATGAGTACTCTGAGAAAAGTACTCTGCGGAAAGTACTCGGAGATGAAATACCTCGCTGAAGATATTGGGAGTTCCTCCCTCTGCTGTTTGCCCTGACAGTGATTCGGTCCAACCGCAGTGAGCTGTCGTTGGTTGAAGGACAACTTTGGTTGGTAAACTCACATTTAGGGGAGTATAAAATTAGAAACATACATTTTGTTGTTCTGTATCTGGCTACAGCCTCCGCCCTGATGCCACACACCGTCTGTCAATGCAGTTATGTTATGCCCAATTGGAAAAAAGATTGACAAGCGAAAGTGGGCATTTTTTTGTGTTTTTTTTGTGTTCTGATATTTCTTTTTCAGATGAGAGATAAACTACCCCTGCTCCAGGGATGACAGTAGTATGGATCAGGAGGAAATGAGCCTCCACTTTGGCACAAAAGCCCACAATATGAATTGAGGACGATCCGGGAGAAAAGCAACTGGAGATGAACGGAACAGCAAATCTACACACACACACTAGGTCTCCCTGACCCAACCTGGCCATTCACTCAGACTGTGGATGAGCGATGTGGGTGCATGGTGTCGGTACTTTTGCAGTCTCACGGAGGGCCACTGAGACCCACTGCTTACTTCTCAGCAAAACTCGATCCCGTGGCAGCAGGGTTGCCTCGCTGCCTGCGGGCTGTGGCTGCCGCTGAGAAAGCGGCCCTAGCATCACGTGACCTTGTGGGATACACTGAACTAACTTTGCTTGTGCCCCATGCTGTTTCCCTGATCCTGCTAGAGCAGAAAACCTCTCACCTTTCGGCGGCTCGTTGGCTGAAATACAACACGGTGCTCTTTGAACTCCCCAATGTCACGGTGAAAAGATGCACACAGCTGAACCCCTCCTCACTGCTGCCCACGCCAGAGGAAGGGGAGGCACACTGCTGTATCGCCACAATAGAACAGATATGCACTCCCAGGCCAGACCTGAAAGAGGTGCCTCTGACTAATCCTGACTTGATTTTTTTTTATACAGACGGAGCCGCGTCACGTGACAACACTGGGAAGAACCGAGTCGGCTATGCTGTGTGTTCTGATTTTGATACTATAGACTCTGGTAGTTTGCCCCACTACCATTCAGCACAAACCGCTGAACTGGTCGCGCCCACCGGGGCGTGTGAGCTGGCAGCGGGCAAAACTGTTAACATATTCTGTGATACGCGCTATGGTTTCTCTGTGGTGCACGACTGGGGGGCACTGTGGAAACACCGCAATTTCATGAAATCTGATGGTAAACCAATTCTTAATTCCACACAGGTTGAACGTCTGCTGAAAGCTGTAATGTTGCCCTTAGAGATCGATGTACGCAAATGCCAGGCCCACACTAATGCCACTGATCCCATCTCTGCAGGGAATCGGCGCGCGGACAAGGCAGCGGCATACGCACCTCTACACACACACACACACTACCTCACTCAAGACGTTGATATTTTCTCCTCTCTGTCAGCGATGCAGACACTGGCTACTCCAGCAGAGACGCTGCTGTGGGAGGGGAATGGGGCTCAACGACGGCATGGTGTGTGTGGCTGGGACCAGACAGCAAACCGTGCCTACCACGGCATTTCTTCAGACAGTTTGCAATTAAAGTATCCATGCCTCAGAAGGAGGGATGTGTGAGTTAATCACACAAAATTGGTATACAAAGGGGTTTACGGCATTTGCACAGAGATTCTGCCAAACATGCGCTATATGCCTCGCGCACAACCCAGGTAAGTCCCAAAAGTATCCAACAGGCTGCTCATCCTCCCGCCCCTGCGCCCATTTCAACATGTCCAAAGGGACTTTGTTGAACTCACACCATGCCAAGGTAAGTAATACTGTCTGGGTCTGGCGGATCTCTGGTCCAAATGGACTGAATATTTGCATGCAAACACGCCACGAGCAACGCGGTGGTGAAAGCTCTGCTCACAGAAATTGTGCCACGATGGGGTGTCCCGAGGGAAAATCTCTAGTGACAATGGCAGTCACTTTGTAGCAAAAGTCATTGAGGAAGTGGGTGAATTTCTGGGCATTGATATACGTAAACACTGCAGTTACGCCCCCTGGTCCGGAGGCGCGTGCGAGCGAGAGAATGGCACTCATGTACATGCGCATGAGAGTCCCATTCGAAATCCTCTGTGCCAGACCACCCAACTTGGGCGCGGGACCCCCGAACAGAGATCTGCCAAGCACCTCTTTGTGTGATGACGACATGCTGTCCTATTGTAAGGAAATTAATGCACTTTTGTCCTCTATTTCTGCCCAGGTCAGGAGCGCCCCGCCACAGGCTGCGCAGGCGACTGGGTCCTGGTGAAGGAAACGAGACGAAAGCATTGGCGGTCCAAGCGCTGGCTCGGCCCATTCCTCGCCCTCCTGGTGACGGACACTGCCGTTAAGGTCGCGGAGAGGACAACTTGGATCCACGCCAACCACTGTCGTGCGGTGCTGCCACTGAGGGCCATAGACGAGGACACCGAGGGCGCGGACGGACCAGGCCCATCCGCGGCTCCCTACGCTGAAGAAGTCGGCCGGCGTGCGACCACCATCGGTGAAGCAGGCCAACAACAACACCCAGAGAATCCCAGCGTTCCCGAGGCGACCCCCCTTTGCCCAACTCCCCAGCCCCCGGATCCCAAGGCTTGGGAGCCATGAAGGCCCTGAGCGCTCTGCTCAGCTGCAGCAAGTATGCAGAGCTGCTGCCCATTCCAAAGATTTCTCCAGAGCTTGCTCCCTCTGGCCATAATGCAGATTTGAGCTCTGCTGGAGTGCCCCCTGGTGTCTCGTCTCCCGTGTGTCCGGAGGAGGTGGAGATGAGGGCTGCTCTACAGTTCCTGATGAGGCACATGGTGAAGCGTGCTGTCATGAGGTCTCCCATCAAACGAGCTTTGGGCCTGGCCGATCTGGAGCGTGCTCAAGCCATGGTCTCCACACCCCAAACCCCGAGCACTCTGCCCAACCGAGTGCTGAGGCCAAGGCTTCAACGCAATTAGAGTCTTGCCGCTCCAAGACCAAACATCGCCATGACCACTAACGCTCCACACACGCTCATAGGGAGCGGTGCCACTGACTGCGAGACGGCACTGCTCGTGAGTATTCCCGCGGAAAAGACTACCGAACGTAGCCCGGCTAAGACCGGCATGGGCCCTTGGACTGCTATGCTGGCCACACTGACACTACTTTCCGTGCTGACCGTGTTTATTATGTTAATATTGTCTTCTCTTATCGCTGTCCGGATCCATTGTGTTATTATAATGTGCTCTTTCTTTTATTGACAAGCATGTTTCTTTTCTTGTCCACTTTGGACAGCAATAATTTAAGTGTTTCAAGCTTGAAGGTGATGTGATTACGATGGCTCTGGTATTTAACTGATTAATGCAAAAATGGTTTTGAATTATCAAAAGAGGGGAGTGTGGTGACAGTTTTTGGAGTAATTACATAAAACCAGCCGCAGCAAATACACGGACGTCAAAGGCCTTTTATCAATGCAGAGACGACCTTCTGACGCCATGCTGAGCTTTGTGAGGGCCCCTGCTGTCTGTCACACCCTTGTGTCTTTCGTATCTTGCATCTGTATGCCTGCTTCTATCCATATGTCCCTGCTCCAGGAAGGAGCCGGGTCCCCCCCGACACCTACAGACAATGGCGATCACTCTGGCCCCCTTTCACCTCTTGCATATGTATCGGTCTGTATGTGTGCATGTTCTACATCCTGCAGTCTGTTTGCATCCCTATGGCGCGGCCAGATGTCTCTCCCCGGGACATGGCGTCTCCGCTCCAGAGCCCCGTCTCTGCTGAACCCCCCTCCCATCTGTTGTGGGCGGGACTGTCTTTCGTGTGTGTCTTGTAAACAGGAAACTCGGAGCTCTGCGAGCCAGAGCTGAATGCACGCTGTTTCTGTGTAGTCAGTAAAAGGCAGCCAAGTAGGGTGAAAGTATATGTACAATTGGAAGGTTTAGAAATTATTTCTGTTTATTTAATAACCTTTCATGAGTAATCAAAATCAGAGCTGCCAGACAAATTCTCGTCCTACTTAGCTGCCTACCAACGTTTCAGCGTGGCTTCCCCTATATTAAAAAGCATATTTGAACATGTTCTACAGAACATAGAACTACATTAAGTCCAACAGGACAACAGAACAACAGTCCAACGGGACAAAGACAAAGTCCAACGGGACTGAACAACAGAGATGCCAGAACGATGGCCGTGACTAAGTCCTACTCTCAGCTGGTGGGGAGCCTCGGACTTCTTCATAGAGCGGTAGCACCGGGCTCTGTCACCTCGCCTGTCAGAATTTTTACCTGACACTGGTAATTAGAAAAACAACTTTAATCGTAACACATGTACATAACATTAGCTCGCTACGAATGGGTCATTGCGGGTATTAAACATGGATGTATGTATTAAAAGGCAGTCACATTAGTTAGCATGTTAGCAAGAGTTAGAACGTACCTTCAAAGTTTATGATGTACGAACAAACATACAACTTAAACCCCTTCTC